CTCTCTAATCCTGGGACCTGCTCCAACCAGAAGTGGGAGAAAGGTTGCAGAGACAACGGTGCAGCATCAGCACGGTATCACAGGAAGTGGCGAGTGGTGAGCCAGGAGCTGGGGATATGGAGACCACGGTGGAAATCTGACATAAGAACCCAGACCTGGATCTCGCTGGAGGTTGTGGCACAAGTGGCTGCAAGCAAAAAGTTGTGTTATCAACTGCAATAAGTAAAATCGCATTGTAGACCTGTGGGTGACAAAGCTTAGAAACCTGCCCCAAGGAAAAGACTCTGCTAACCAGAGGTACAATGATCAAGAGCAAAAGAAGAGACAAAAGCACAATAAACATTACTGAAAACTCCTCTGCAAAGGAGCAAAACCCTATGCCAACCTCAGAGTTCACTGAGGAAGACATCAACAAAATGGGGCACACAGAATTCATAAAACTCATTTTAAAGATTCTGATCAACAATGAGAAGCACATACAAGAGTTCAAAGAATTTAAGGAAGCAGTAAAGCAAATCAAGGCTGATATATCAGAAATTAAGAACACAGTAGAGCAAATTAAAAGTACAGTGGAGAGCCTCCAAAATAGCATGAAGGAAGCAGAACAAAAAATCTCAGAATTGGAATATATTTCCTGTCATCAGGGGGAAAGCAAACAAAAAGCTGGAAGCAGAGCTGGATCAGACCAAAAAAAGTATTTAAGAATTGAAAGACACTATTAAGAGGCCAAATATAAGAGTTATGGGAGTCCCGGAAGGTGCAGAAAGAGAAGCTGAGTTTGCAAATCTATTTAAGGAAATAATCAAGGAAAAATTCCCTAATAGGGAAAGAATTGGGAAACAAGATCCAGGAGGGGCACAGGACTCCCAATAGCCTTGATCAAAAGTGATGTTCACCAAGACACATGATCTTCAAGCTCTCTTCAACAAAACATAAGGAAAAGATCCTTAGATGTGCACGTGAAAAAAAATAATCTACTGACATATAAAGGAATGCCAATTAAACTCACAGGAGATCTCTCACAGGAAACTCTATAGGCAACAAGAGAATGGAGTGACATATTCCAGATTCTAAAAGAAAAAAATTGTCAGCCTAGGATAACGTATTCAGCAAAGCTTTCTTTTGTCTTTGAAAATGAAATAAAATTGAAATGAAATTCAATTGAAATTGAAATGAAAATGAAATAAAATTCTTCCAGAGTACAGAAAAGCTAAAAGACTTGGCCTCTTTCAAATCTGCCCTACAAATGATGCTTCAAGATGTTCTCTTGGGCCCGGCGCGGTGGCGCAAGTGGTTAAGGTCCTCACCTAGCACGCCCGGGATCCCATATGGGCGCCGGTTCTAATCCCGGCAGCCCCGCTTCCCTTCCAGCTCCCTGCCTGTGGCCTGGGAAAGCAGTCGAGGACGGCCCAAAGCTTTGGGACCCTGCACCCGCGTGGGAGACCCGGAAGAGGCTCCTGGCTTCAGATCGGCATAGTATCAGCCGTTGCGCTCACTTGGGGAGTGAATCATCGGACGGAAGATCTTCCTCTCTGTCTCTCCTCCTCTCTGTATATCTGCCTTTCCAATAAAAAAAATAATAAAAATAAATCTTTAAAAAAAAAAATAAAAAAAAAAGATGTTCTCTTGACAGAGAAGAGGAATAGCTCCTACCAAAACCAAAGGCAAATGAGAAGAACATCCCAGTAAAATGACAACGTAAGACTAAACCAATGAACAACCCATTCCTAAAATGATTGAACCAAAGTACCACCCATACATATTAAACTCTGAATGTAAATGGCTTAAGCTCAATCAAATGGCATAGATTAGCAGACTGGATTTAAAAACAAAACCTATCTATTTATTGTTTTGAAGAGACACATTTCACCAACAAAAGTCAGCAGAAACTATATCGCATGGGTCTTGTTGTTTTCTGTTAGTTTCATCTCTTCAAAGCACCTTCTTCTGATTAAATTCTTCAGTGACTCACAGATCATACAGTAGCATCATTTTCTGCAAGAAGGTTCTTGATTTTCATTTCTTCAGCTACACATGCTATTGAACTTCATAATGTTGTTAATTTCTTTTTTCTCCCTGATGTTGATTTTGTTTTGTGGTTTTTCATTTAAGGGGATGTATAGTAGCTGTGTATAATGGAGACTGTCATATCTAGTAACATGTCATTTAACTTCATGGCATTGTAAATTTCTATTTTTCTTTCTATTGTTGACTTTGTATTATGACTTTTCATTTAAGGGAATGTACAGTAGCTATGAAATGAGAGTAACATCCAGATGTGAGGATACAATGCAGTATGCATTTCTACTTCCAGACAAAGATGGACTCAGAATGAAACTGTTCACTATTTCTTGACAATAGGATGCTGGACTCTCTGCCATTGTCCATGCCCACAATGATGGACATATGACTGTGTATGAAGAACTCTATGTTAGTAATGATATAGAGGAACTAGGTGGGGGAGACGAAATTGTGGAGGGCATAAGGGAATACAGAACTATATCATAAAACAATAATAACAATAATAATAAAATGTAAAAAAAATTTTAAAAACTGATCTTTCCCTTAGAAATTATTTGGTCAGATAGACTGAAACAATATCTTGTTCTCTAATAGCAAATAATATGTTTACTCCAATAATTCCCATGTTAGGGCCCGGCAAGGTGTCCTAGCAGCTAAAGTCCTTGCCTTGACTGCACCAGTATCCCATATGGGCGGTGGTTCTAATCACTGTGGCTCCACTTCCCATCCAGCTCCATGCTTGTGGCCTGGGAAAGCAGTCAAGGACGGCCCAAAGCCATGGGACTCTACACCCGTGTGGAAGACACGGAGGAAGTTCCTTGATCCTGGCTTCGGATCGGCACAGCATCGGGCTGCTGCGTTCAGTTGGTGAGCGAATCATCGGATGGAAAATCTTCCTCTCTGTCTCTCCTCCTCTCTGTATATCTGACTTTCCAATAAATAAATAAATCTTTTTTAAAAAATTTCCCATGTTAATATGCAGCTTTTAGTTTTCCAGTGGTTTTTCTGTGTTTTTGTAGTTTTTGTTTGTTTGTTTAAAGATTTATTTGATTTTATTTTATTGGAAAGTCAGATATACAGAAAGGAGAAGAGACAGAGAGGAAAATCTTTCATCTGATTATTCACTCCCCAAGCAGCCGCAACGGCCGGTGCTGTGCTGATCCAAAGCCAGGATTCAGATCCTCTTCTGGGTCTCCCACACGGGTGCAGGGCCCCAAGGCCCTGGGCTGTTCTCAACCGCTTTCCCAGGCCAGAAGCAGGGAGCTAGATGTGAAGTGGAGCTGTTGGGATTAGAACTGGCACCCATATGAGACCCTGGGCATGCAAGGAGAGGACTTTAACCACTACACTATTGCACTGGGCCTGTGTTTTTGTAATTTTTACACTAATAAATACAACTTATCAAGGGAGGGAAATGAATATTTTTAAGGGCCACACTCTTTTTTTTTTCTAGTTCCTTTTTTTTAAAGATTTATTTTTTATTTTTATCGGAAAGGCAGATATACAGAGAGGAGAGACAGAGAGGAAGATCTTCCGCCCAATGATTCACTCCCCAAGTGAGCGCAATGGCCGATGCTATGCCGATCCGAAGCCAGGAACCTCTTCCGGGTCTCCCATGCGCCAGTTCAGAGTCCCAAAGCTTTGCGCTGTCCTCAACTGCTTTCCTAGGCCACAGGCAGGGAGCTGGATGGGAAGCGGGGCTGCCGGGATTAGAACCTTAACCACTTGCGCCACCGCGCCGGGCCCAAGGGCCACACTCTTTACAATTCACGTTTTAAATGCTGCTCATTTGCAGGATTGCTTCTTGGATTAAAATTCGTTTCATCTCAAAACCAACAAAGCGGTTAAGCTTTTTTCAGAAAACAAATTTAGTAAGATTTAAAAATGGCTGAAGAGCGGTAATTTGCACAGAAAAAAAACTGTTATAATACTGAAAACCAAGGTTTACAGTGTATTACCTTGAAGAATTGGTGGTGGTGATCTAATACAACTACTTACTAAAGTGAATTAAAAAATTTTTTTAAAATTTATTTCAGAGTTAAAGAAAGAGTAGGAGAGACAGAGATCTTTCATCAAGTGGTTCTGGCCCCAGGTGGCTGCTATGGTGAGGGCAGAGCCAAGCTGGGTATCCCATGTGGGTGGTAGGAATCCAAACACTCAGGATTATCTTCTGCTCTTTCTGCTAAGCCAACGGCAAGGAGCTGGATTAGAAGTGGTATCAATTACAAGACTAACTGCCACAATGCGGGCCCACAAAGTGAATGTTAATACTCATAATTTTGACATGGGTAGATGCATTTATTGTGACCTTACTAGAGTTAAGAGATGATGAAGTCTAAACTGAAGATCTCACCTATGGGCCAGTGCTGTGGAGCAGTGGATTAAGTTGCTCTGTGTGATGTCAGTGTCCCATAGTATAGTACTGGTTTCAAATTCTGGCTGTTCTGTTATGATCCAGCTCCCTGCTAAAATACCTGGGAAAGTAGCAAAAGACGGCAGGTACTGGGACCCTGCTATCCACATGGGAGACCTGGGTGGAATTTCCAGCTCCTCGGTTCAGCCAAGTCCTACCTCAGCTGTTATAATCACCTGGGAAGCCAAGCAGTAGTCAGAACATAGCTATCTTTCTTTCTCTGCCACTCTGCCTATGAAATAAATAAATCTTAAAAAAAAGTTGAGGAAAAACTATATTTAATTTATTCTAATGTATACATTCACAGTATCTGAAATCAAATATCTTTCAGTTAACATTTATCATTGTTTATTTGGCAGTGATTTTTCTTCAGTAGTACATAAAATAACATACCCTGCAATTAAAGGTTACCTTAATATCTGATAAAATGAAGTATACTGATTCAAGTAGACATATAGCGTTTGACTAAAGAAATAATTGCCAAGATACACATTAGAAACAGAGAGGTACATGCATGCACACATTATGAAGTACCTACATGTAGCTAGCAGTTTTATTTACATACCTCTGTAGGTCAACTATTTCATTGACAAGGGTATCTAGTTCCTCAATAGCAGAGAAATCTGCAACAGGACTTGATCCTATGATATTCTAAAAACAAAAAGTTGACAAGTACACATTATTACTATAAATTATATTAATATAACAAATAATTTAAAATGTCAAACTCTAAGGATATAACTATTGCATAGTTTATTGCAATGTTAAAACAGAACTGTCTAGTACAACTATATGTATTATATATATTTAGTTATATACTAAGACTTATGTTTTAAATCCTCTAAAAGTTGTTATTGTAGAATATACATTATCACCCCCTATTTCAGGTCCCAATATCTTTCTCACTTGATCTTAACCTTCTAGAACATAGCAAAACAGATATCAGGTTTACAAAGCAGTATTTTAAATAAGCTATGAATTTTCTGGGGAGATGGATAGTGATTTATTTGCATTTGTATCATCTGGCACAGGATAAATTCACAAATTTTTGTTGAATCTTAAAATTATGACATTGGTTGGTTTCATTCAACAAATATTTACTTTTGTTAAACAATTTAAGTGTCTACTTAGGGTAAAACCATCTGTTCAGGCATATTGCATTGTAAACATTACTATCACCATGTATGAAGCTATTCACATACAATTTCCTTTAAATATGGGTTTCTTTCAATAACAAAGGTGCTAATTTTGGTCTCTGGTAACTGTAGTTAGAAATTCTAAGTTTATTCTGGTGTGACTGTTTGCTAGCTACAAGATCTCCAGCTGTAAAACAGGAAAACAACTTCCACACTTCCCACTTTACAAATTAAATGAAATGATGTATAAGAAATAATTTTATAAGCATGTTATTTTATAAGTATGTGCTATTGTTATAATTAAGTCCTCAACAGAATGTGAGTTACATTCCCCCTGGTTCACTTTCCTTTGTGAGCCATCATTAATGTACTACACAGTTGGCTGGAGTCAGGGAAAAAGGGTCATTGTGCCGTCAAACATTTAACCTATACACAATAAAAAATAATGTAGCAATCACCTTTTGGAAATGTTAAAACTGAGTGAAGTCTGAACACACTAATACCTAAGAAATGCTGATGACCTAATTACAACATAAAACTTGGGACTAGCATGGTCTCTACCTGCTAGGGCAGGCATCCAATATGGGTACTGCTCCACTTTTGATCTAGCTTTCTGCTTATGGCCTGGGAAAACAGCAAAGGATGGGCCAGGTCCCTGGGCTTCTGCACCCTCATGGGAGACCAGAAAGAAGCCTGTGGCTACCAGCTCCAGATAGGACTTAGCTCTGGCCATTGCAGCCATTTAGGAGGCAAACTAGCAGGTAGAAGACCCTTTTTCTGTTTTTCCTTCTCTGTAAAATCTGCCTTTCAAATAAAGAAATATTTAAAAAGAAAACTTAGTAGTATTAATACTTATACTGTTGTGAATTTAATATATTTTACAGAAAACTAAAAGCTCAGAATGTCTCATTTTTTTCCTATTTATAAAAATATTTACAATTCGGTATGCATTTTCAAACCCATTACCCAATTTTCAAAACTAATCTGAAATGTAGAATATAGGGAGGGTAGATATTAGTATTAAGCCCATTTTACACCTGAGGAAGCAGATTAAATGATTTGTTCAAAGTTTAACCCACCATTAAAGATAAAATGATTAAGAATATGTAGATTATTATACACTCTGTCCCTGTGTGCTTGCATATCAAGATTAGTTAGGTAAATGATGCCATTATCCTAAAACTTGATTAAGCAGGTAATTATCAATAAAAATAGCAAAAATTCTTTCTACCTTTCTTTAAGCCATACTGTATTTTTAGCACAGAGCTGCTTTATGGTGATTATCAATACCTAACCTCAGGTATGGAGATTTAGTTAATGCTATTCCCAATTACAGATTTTATCAAAAACATTTAACTGTTTTACTATGTTCCACTAATACTCATACCCTTTTCAATGCTAGATTAAATTAGAAATTTAAAAGTGGAATTCTGAATGTAAGCTACTCATTCACTAGGAATGTGCTAGTAAAAATAACTGTCAAAACCTGACTTATCAGGTAGGCCTGGCAGATAGCTAGAGAGGTAAAGGACATTAAAAACTAGTATTTGGTCTCACTTTTATCATCAAAAGTAACTTACATCACCTACTGAGAAATTTTCTCTCAGAGGTGCAAGCAGACCAAGAAACGCATGACTTTCACACCTCTTCTCTCACTGTAACTTAAAAACAGTGACTCAGATCTGAGTCTTTTGCTGTTAAAAATACCAAAGAAGACAAAGTGAGACAAGTTTAACCTCAAACTAGTTAGAAAGTGATACCCTAGATGACCTTAAAATGGGCATGCTATTAGGAAGCATCAAAAGATAGTATATATTTTATGCAGCAAATGAAGAACATACAAAGAAAAACAGACCATCTACTCCTCTTTCAAAATATTTTCTCATTCTATCTTGTACTTTACATAAAACTTTCACCTTGGTGATTTCCAGGGGATCAGAGAGCCAAGTAAAGGTAAGCTAATAAGCACACAAGACCAAGTCACATGTGGCAAAAGCATGCTGTTTAAATATTTTTTCTTTACCAACTTTGCTGCATTTAAAAACAAAACAAAACAAAAAACCCTCTAGTTTTAAAATGCATCTCGTAAACCAAAAAACACAATGCTAAAAAAGAAGCATAAAATACAGGTCTAACCTTGATAGAGCAGATTTAAGAAACTGACAGTACAAGAAAGGCGAAAAGCAGAGTGTTGCAGAATGGAAAAAATAGTCCAAACTAGAAAAAACACAGAAAGGAAAGCAACATTCAAAAAAGGATTAGTTAAAGCTACAACAAATGCAGTACTTCTTAAAAAGCAATTATTTGTAAGATAAGACAAATGCAAATTTTAATTTTAGAAATTATAATTTTTGGTTAATACATAAAACTACAGTGATGAAATCTTATTGCAATGAATAATACTGATATCTGACATAGACAATAATGTCTATGTTCTGTAGAATGGACCAGAGACATCTACTAAACACGCAGCATTCCAGATGCAACCTCAAGAGTTCACTAGTAATAGACGTCAATGAACGAACAGAATTTGCTTTAGAAATTTTTGTCATATCTGTAATTTGTGTTGCTGGGAAACTAAGAAAGTTACAAAATGTATACAATAAGAAGAACTCTACATAGGTGAAATAAGACAAAACTAAACATGCAGTTACAGAAAGTATAAATACAATTTCAGTAAGCAATAAAAAAAAAAATCACAACATACTCTCCCCTCTCAAAAATCTCACAAAGTGGATAACTGAGCACTTATTTTGTCAATAAGGACAAGGAGGTTAGCCTAGCTGTTAGCACACCCTGGGTCAGAGTGCTTGGCTCAGTTCTCAGCTTCACCTCTAGACTCCAGCTTGGCACTAATGCAGATCTGTGAGGAACCAACAATAGCTCAAGTAATTGGGCTCCTGCTGCCCAAGTGGAAGCCCTGGACTGCATTCCAGTGCCTGAATCTGGCCTGGCTTTGGTTCAGCCCTGGTCAATGTATGCATTTAGGGGAATGAACAAGTGTTCTCTTTGGCTCTCTAATGAATTAATATTAAAAAAAAAACAAACTAAACAATAATAATAATAAAGATCAGAACTCTACAAGTAATTCTGTATAGCTAGTGGCTATAAATTCTGTTCAGTTTACTTAATTTTTTTTGTTAAATTTTTATTTTAAATTTTTGAATTTTATGGTACAAATAACAGACTGATGGAATCAGGACTCCTATGAAGGACTATACTATTGTAGTAATGTGGGGGAAAATCTGAGAGTTTGGGAGAGGAAATCCCAGTCTCTATGAACTTGTACCATAAATTGTTATTTATTTATTTTCACTTTATCTGAAAGGCACACAGATGGGATTTTGAAGAGGGCAGTTCTTCAACCCATTGGTTATTCTGCAAATGCCCACACAGGCCTGGGGTAGGGAAGGCCAAAGCCAGGAACTTTGAACTCAACCCATAGTCTCCCACAAAGGCAGTAGGAGAAGCACTGGTGGTATAGTGGTTAGCATAGCTGCCTTCCCACAAAGGCAGTAGGACTCAAGTACTTGAGACATCACTTGCTGTTTTCCAGGATGTGCACTGCAGGAAGCTGGATGAGAAACAGAGTAGGCCAATATCCAAACCAGGCATTCTAAAATATGATGCAGGTATCTCAGCAGCTGAGCCAAACACTATTCCCCAGGAATTTTCATTTTATTAACTCCTTTTATACACAATCCCTTTGAATCATCACAGCAAAAGTGATTGTATAGTCCACAAGAAATGCAAAAACACACAGTAGTTATTTTTAAGGACAAATAGGCAGTACACTTTGCCAATCTTTAAAGAGTCTGTGAGTGCACTGTACCAGGAAAGATGAAGAGAGACAAATCAAGGCATAACATTATTAAAACAAGGCAATTTTTGAATATTCCCACTGCTGACAAGAAATGAAAATACTTAAAACTTGCTTCTAGCTGTTCAGACATGAACAGTCAGCTGTCAACTCAGCAAGAGAGGGTCATCTAAAGGCCCCCCCAAAAAATCTTCCCAAAAAAGCCAAAACAAAAAAGACCAAAACAGATTTATCCTCAACATAATGCTTTATTGGTTTTTTTTGTTGTAAAATTGATACTATGCAATTATAATCTCTTAGATTGTTTTCAAAACAAAACTTACTCTATATGAGTATAATTTATAAGAGTATAGTTCACCCTGTAAGAGTACAATCTCACAAATCAGGAACAAAATAAATAAATAAATAAAACCACATTTTTCCAATTTTAGGACTGGAAAATGCAATTTTCAGATGTATAATGAATAGCAGGATTAAAGTTAATGTTAAAGATGTTATACACGGCTCGCAAACATATTTATATGAACAAATTAAACACAACTACTATACCGCCCTGTTTGCAGACCCCAACGTTCTATCCAAATACAATACACCAACTAATGTAGCACTTGAATCTTTCCATGAACACACTTCGAGTTTTCTTCTAAGTTGTCTCACCTTTTGTAAACTGGTCCTGTCTGATGGTGGAATCATCTCAGGGGTGAGAATAAGAGGAGGATCAATGCCTTTTACTAACTTTTGATTGATTAAGTGAAAGGCCAAGGCAAACTGATCCTTTGAAAGCTTCCCAGAATGTTTTGGGTCACATAATGACCTGTACAAACAAACAAAATGAACAGCTTAAAAAATATCACATTGCCATTCTAAAAATCCTAAAGAAAAATACAACTACATGAAATGATCAGTTGAATTAGAAAGATCAAGTAGCAGCTTGTCCAACCTCAATTCAAAAGTTAGAAAAAGATTTGTTCCTTCCTAAAAAGGAAATAATTCACCCTAGTGCTGAGCTGGGACCTCTAATCTGGGTTTACTTTGTACTTATTGTCAATTTCTAGAAACACAAGAAAGAGCTGCAGTGGGTCAGACTCCCAACATTTACTACTCCCCAAATTTTAACATGACTCATTCAAGATGAAACCTGGCTTGCTGATAGCACCACAGTGGTTCTAAAAGCACGTAAAAATTTCCACTTCAGCTTCTTTCCTGCACGCCTTGGATTAGGAGGTACAAGGATCACCAAGTCAAGGCAGAAACAACAGCTGCAAATGGAGATCACATGTGAAGAGAAGGCAGCAATCTGGAAAGCTTTACAAAGTCACTTGCAGAGAAACAGCAAATGTCTTGTTCTATTTTCCTTTTAAAGCCCCGTTTTCTAAAGTCCTAATTTGTTTAAAAACAGATTTTATTTGAAACCTTCCACTGGAAGCCAGTGTTGCCTACAGAAAGGACTTCCAAGTCACAGTACCACAGAGGCCTTGCATTCCAGATTTTCTACTTATTCTGCTTGTGGCCTCAGTCAAAATGTAAACCTCTCCAGGCTTTTGTTTGTGTGACAGTGGCCATTTACTCAGCTTAGTATTCAGTGTAGCACCACAGAGGGATAGTTATTATTAGTTGTGCATTCTTAATCTTTCTCAGTCTTCAATCCTTGCTTCCTTTAAGGCAGATCCATCACACTCCTTCCTCTGTCCTTTCTCTACAGCTATGTTGCTCAGCCTTGGCTGTTGGCTACCTCAAGAGGACCTTTGTTATACTTAACTTGATTGGTAACAGAAAAAGCACAAAATATTTGATTGTGTACAGGAAAAGTACAAAATGTTTTCAAATATATTATCTCAGTGTAAAATTCATTAAAGATACCAAGCTTTATCTTTGTAAGGATCAAACATATATCTTTATGTACAGTGTAAAAATATACATGTACCTCATAGACTTATATGGCCTATGTCTTGAAGAAATGATTTTATAATGTTAAATAACTGTTTCTCAAATCTCAGATATTTGGATTGTGCCTTAAAACTTTCAATTCAACTGATAAATACAAACAGATGCTTCATTTGAACATTCTAACAGCAATTAATAGATACTGTCAATCTTACAAAATTTCAGGTATCAAACTCCCAAACTTTTGTCCACTACTAACAAGACTTCTTATGATTTAAATTTTTCTATACAGAGTTCTGAAATAAAAATGTAATAAAGCATTGTAAATTAAAGTCTTACCAAATATGGGCTAGTAAGGTAGAAGGTAAACCTGTTTTCAGGAAGATCTCACGGACCTCCAATCCAGACACAAATCCATCCATATCCTTATCAGTTTTCAGGAAGATTTCATCATATTTAGCCTTTTCCACAGGAGATACAACCCACTACAAGGGGAAAAAACAAAAACAAAAACAAAAACGATTTCTGCCAAAACGAAGCTAACTCTGAGTGTTACTATTTCAACTCATGACAATATTTGGCACAACTTCCTCCCTACTAACAACACAGTACCACTTCTATGATGTCTCACTCACAATGCTGTAATAAGGACAAAACAATAGAGCAAAAAACAGGACAATTAGGATTGTATTTAGGTACACACACTCACTTTTTTGTAAGTAATGACCAAATTCAAAGATAGCGAACTCTTGATCTGTGAAAGCCTACATTAATATAGGTAGAGAATCTGAATAAACAAAATATTCAGCTAATTCTCTATTTTCATGTTTTAGTTTTATACAGCATTCTTAACAATATCCAAGTTGCAGATTTGCATATCCTCACATTATCATTCTTCACTCAATAGTTGGACAAGAAAAAACGGCACTTGGAAAACCCAGAATTATACGTTTCGATCCCAAAGAATCAAGAGTTAGCTATAGATTGGACAAAAATAATGATTAATAATGTCAGGGCAAGTGTGTTTTGTTAGCATGTAGCATATTTCACATCCAAATTCAACTGCAGGTGGATCAAGGCAGTCAATGAAATATCCACATGACCTAACGCTAAGAAATGCAGTTAATATTTGTCTCCCGGAACATCAATATGATGCATGCTCAAACAGAGGGAGCTCTAAATCTTTGATCCTTTCGATTGCTCCTTCTGTCCTTATCAATCATCAACTATTAAAATGCCATGCATTTTGTTTTAAAAAAAATCCTTTAACACTGATAATTCTATACCTGTCTTAACGGTGATTTGGCAGGTAAAATGCCTACAGGTTGTAAAGAGTGGTAAGATTCCTTGGCTGATGCTGAATGAGGGGCCAGCATAGAGCCTGACATACTGACCGTTTTTCTCTTAGATGGTGGCACCAGGGCTGCAGGCAAGGTCATTGGCACAGGTTCCTTCTCCAGTGCGCAGTATACCAGAAACATGGCCTTCAAAACAGATGAACCAGGGTCACACACGTATGTCATTTAAAAACATTCACCCAGTGAGTTTCTCATTGTACAATAACATATTGTGTTCATGCTGTTTCAAATCTTTTTATTAAAAAACTCAGGCTGGGAGAAAAGAAGAAAAGATACCAGGATGGATGGAAGAGAAAGGGAAAGGAAATAAAAGCAAAGTAATTTTAGAAAGATAACCTGAGCAGCAAAAACTCAGATGCCCATTCTTCATCTAAGATCTTGCAATGTCAATGGTTAATGACACTTTGGGGTGGTAAACAGTATCTTTAATTATGAAGAGCTCCAAAAAAATAACAGAAGAAAAGTCAAATTCCAATAGAAAAATGGACACAATATGAGCAACTGTTTTACAGAAAAGTAAACAGAATAAGTGAGCTAACTTTATCATATAAAATTATACCTATTTCACTCATAAGAAAACTACAAGTATCCCAAAATATCATTTCCACATAACTGACAAAAGCCAACCTCGTAACACACTTTTGCTAGCTAAACAGCAGGAAAACAGACAGTGTCACACTTTGTTAGTGAAAGTTTAGGGGTACTAGAAAATGGCACCCCAAAACATGCCCTTTGTTCTAAGATTTATTTTCGCTGAAGGCAACTGAAAGGTAGCAGATACAAGATAAGCTCTCTGCCCTACCATTATTTGCCTAAAAAGCAGGAGATTACATTTATAAAGATGTTTGTTTCCCCTCCCCACAAGAGGATACAATAATTGCTCCCCAGAAGCTTAGAGTCTTGTAGATGGGACCAAAGAAATGTGTTCACCATTACTTTTTCCATATATTCACCTTCCCACAAATGTGGCCTCTGCCAACTTAAGATCCTTTATCATGTCATTTGTCTAAAAAACTGCATTCTTTGTTGAAGATGGACTATAACCTGGTTTTTAAGCCTTCTAGTTGAGTGTTAATTCCCCCTGAGTTGTCTTCCATATACTTACAAAATACATGTGTTAATCAAATTCCATGTTTTCCTTATAAATCTACATTTTGTCTCAAGGGTCCTGGGCAAGAACTTACAAAGGTAAAGAGGAGAATAAGTGGACAGATCTCTGTCTCTTTCAGTAACTTTCTTTTTTTTTGGAAAAGGCAGTTACAGAATCAGCAAAACAGAGACACAAAGAGATCTTCCATCTGCTGATTTATTCCTCCAATAGTTATAATGGCTGAGGCTGGGCTGGGCCAAAGACAGGAGCTTCATCCAAGTCTCCCGCTTGGGTTCAGGAGTCCAAGGCTTTGGACCATCCTCTGTTGCTTTCACAGGTGTATTAGCAAGCAGTTTTGTCGGAAGTGGAGTAACTAGACCTCAAACCTGTACCTATATTGGATGTGGCACCACAGGTGGTGGCTTAATTCACTGAGCCACACCACCAGCCCCAAATAAAAGAAATCTTTAAAACATAAAGAAACTGAGATTCAGAAATGCTAAGCATCTTGCCCAGTACAATATTATTAAGAAGTGACAAAAAAAGATTTTTTAAATAAAAGGTTTTCTGGGTATAAAGTTCTTTTTCCAGATTTGATCATTATTAGCATACCTGTAATTTTACAATATGCTATGTCTTTCTTTGTAACAGATGAAGATAACCTTCACATATTGGTACTCAGAATTTAACTGGCACCAGAATTACTTAGTCAGTGTGATAACACACAAATTTCTGTGCCCTGAAGTCAGAATTTTGGAATCAAAGGAGTTAAAGTTAGGCCAGAGAATCTGCACTTGCAGCAGGTTCCCAGTTGAAGCTGATGCTGCTGGCCCAGAGACCACACCTAACCATCTTGTCCAAAACCAAGAACTCTCCAATCCCCACTCAATAGCCAGCCTACAAGAATTCAGTTATAGAATTTAGAAGGACATCAACTTTCTATCTCCAATTGGCTCCAAACTCCAAAAAAACACAATCTGGCCAACACACAATTCTTAGTATACGTAATATCATGCGTAATACCATGAGATTGGCACTGAGTTAAGAGAAGTGACCAGCACACACGTTAAAAGGTCAGCCCTCTCACTGCCGCAGATGGGAGTCATTTCCTGGAAAAATGGACATTAGAAGCAAAAACGCAATGTTAGCCATCTGCTGCCAAGAGACAACACATTTTTTAAAAGTTAAAAAAGAATATTAATTTCATATTGCCTTGAAAATAGTTTCCTTGACAAAACTGAAGAAAAATCCACAAAATAAAACAAAGTAAGTAAATAGAATACTCTTAATACTGCAGGGTTGCATTTTTATTATTACATTATAATTTATCCTACTCAAGTGTGTGATATTGAAACAAAAATAACTAAATCAGTCGTTGTACCATATTAAAAATAAAATCTACTTGGTAATACTTTTCAAACTAAAATGTACTATCAAATGTACTTACAGATACTGAATTAAGAAGCTACTGAGTATATATTTTGATGATTTCAAAGTAAAAAGTCATGAAAAAAAGTTTAACTTTACAAAGGCATCGCAGAGAAAGAGAGGATGAGGTTTTCCTGCTGCAGTCAGTTACTGCTTGTTTCTCTGACTTTCCACTCTCCATCTTTTTAGACAGTATTTCTCAATTTTTAGGAGCCATCAAAATCATCCACAAAGCTGGATGCACAGTTATAGAACTTCACAAGGATAACAAACAACTTAAACATGAGCACGAATCAATCGCCTTGGTTCAATGGCACAATACTATCATTTTATACACATTTTGTGTTTTCAAACTGACATTTATCAGAGAGGAAATCTATCCTCTTGGCAAAATGTACCCTTAATGTGTCACTAGAAACTTTCAATTAAACTAAGTGGGTAAGAAATAAAACATAGTATTTCCAACTATTCAATACAAGGCTAATTCACCAATGATAAAATAGAATACTGATAATCACAAATATTTCTTAAACCCACAAAAAGACAGCTACAATTTTTAAAACCCATTTTATTTTTGTGTCATACATAAACACAAATTCCTAAAACTCACATTAACTGTGGCAAAGCATCCAAGTCATGATAAAGCCTGACACAAACTAACATCCCTCAAAAGGCTCCCAGAGATCGCAGATGCTAGATCTCTGTCAACTTCGGGCTTCAGGAATAAGAATATGAAAAGAATTTATACTCAAAAAGAAACAGGGCCATTCATTAAAGGTACACATGGCAATGGAAGTCCTGTAAGTTAGAATTTCTAGCTTCCTGTACTCCAATTAAAACAAAATCACCTCACAATATAAAACTAAACAAACAAACGGGCAGGCTCCGCACAATAGCCTAGCAGCTAAAGTCCTCGTCTTGCAGGCGCTGGGATCTAATCCCAGCAGCCCCACTTCCCATCCAGCTTGCTGCTTGTGGCCTGGGAAAGCCTCTGAGGATAACCCAAAGCCTCAGGACCTTACATCCACTTGGGAGACCTGGAAGAAGCTCCTGGCTCCTGGCTTTGGGCAGGCTCAGCCCCAGCCGTTGCGGCCACCTGGGGAGTGAATCAACAGACCAAAGATCTTCCTCTCTGTCTTCCTCTGGGTATATCTGCCTTTCCAATTAAAATAAATAATTTTTTTTTAAAAAAGGGAGAAACAAACTGGTTAATAATTTCAAAATAAGGGCTCAGTGCAGTAGCCTAGTGGCTAAGGTCCTCGCCTTACACACGCCAGGATTCCATATGCGTAACAGTTTGTATCCCAACAGTCACGCTTCCCATCCAGCTCCTTCCTTGTGGCCAGGGAAAACAGCTGAGGACAGCCCAAAGCCTTGGCGACCCTGCAACCACGTGGGAGACCCAGAAGAGCTCCTGGCTCCTGCTTTGATTTGGTTCAGTTGCAGCCATTGTGGCCACTTGTGGAGTGTGAACTATTAGATGGAAGATCTTTTTGTAAATCTGACTTTCCAATAAATAACAAATAAATTCAAAAAAAGGTGTCACCAAAAAAAAAAAAGGCATCAGAGAAAAGGCTGCAGAGTACAAAAGACAAGCTTTTATTCATTTACGTTAGAATATACTATTTATCAAATGAAAATAATACTATTCACCAGCTATTCTAACTGTACTAACACAAACACTCCTTTGAAATTTAAAATTTTTGTCTTTACAAAAAATATTCTCACTACATCTTACTAACAAAAAGATTTGGACCACTGTATTTCAACACAAAAATCTTTTATGACTGTTTATCTGTAGAATTTGAGAATGTTTCAAAGTCAATTACCAAAATTCTTCATTAAAACTCATTCTCCAAGATCTAGAGACCCTTATCATCCAACTAAGTTAAAACACTATATGAAAATCTAAAATGAAAAAACAAAACAAGCTAATTTAATCACTTTACAGTTAAGAAACATTCAGATATCCAAGCTGAAAGATTATCTTTTAAAAATAGTGAGAGGAAGAAAATATTGGTCTGAGGTCAGTGAAACCCAGCTAAACTTGTGTTTAGGGAAAAACATTCTTTAATTGATTTTGGTATTATTGATAATAATAATAAAAAAAGAACTTAGTATTCATTTTCAAGAAAGTTTTAACAAAGAACAACACAGTAAGTCAAGAGAAACTGAAAAGAATGAAAAGAAGTAATTAAAATAAGAGATGAAATAAAAGGCCAAAACAGTAGAAAGGTTTTTTTTTTTAAGTTTTATTTATCTATTTATAATTTTTAAAAGAAAGAATAAAAGGTGGGCGGGGAGTTACTGGTCATACATGTTCCATTTGGTTGTTTATTTCCCCCCAAAAAGCTGGACCAGGCCAAAGAAACTAGGAACCCATAATTCAATTTATGGGTAGTAGGGAGCTTAGCTGAGTTATCACAGACCTTTCATGGTATGCACTTGCAGGAAACTGGAATCAGAAATAGCCAGGACTCAAATCCAGAGACTTCAACACAGGATATGAGTAACCCAAGAGGTGGTTTACCTGCCATGTTTCATGCTAATCCCCAAAAGATGGGTTTTGAAAAACAAAAATCCATAAACTACATAAAATCAGATTAAACAAAAAAAAATTAGAAGGGCCAAAGATGAGATTTGGAATGACAGAATAGTGTAACCACAAACCCAGAAGAGATTAAAGAATAATTTAAATTTGTTGCAAAGTCAAAGAAATAGCTAATTCCTTAACAAAATAAAAATAAACATAAATTGTGAAAATGTTTCCAAATAAAAGAGTAACAGAAGTCATAGATTTACTACTCCAGAGTTCACAACAGTTTCCTTTAAGCTTTGGGCAAGAGATAAAAATATTCTATTTGGAATAAATTATTTGTTACTAAAATAACATGTCTATAGATAGAGTGTCAAAGTTCCTCTGCCTTCAGAAATGAAGTGAAACTGAAAGAATACATTGAGAAATGCATTTTAGAAAAAATTTCTCCATTGCAGAAGCTATAGGATACAGAAGACAAACTGGGATATAGAAGACAGTACCAGTCAGCATCTTTAATTATCCCAAGACATATATTCCTCGAAGTCTATTATCAGCCAGAATTCTTCACTATATCCCTTTCCCAAAGTATCCCATATTTATCAAATCCCTGATTCACAACTGGAAATCCTTGCTACCATTGTGAGGGGATATGTCCCATCATTTCAACCAATGAATCCCCAAATATGTAAAAACACGTTTCCACTGTTCATTTATCCAATATTTAACTGTATAAATCCAAAATTTAAATGTGCAAACTAATAATCTATTAGAAATATAATCTTCCTCAGCATGAACTAAAAGGCAAAATCTTGTCATGAGAAAATCATTAAGACACTCAAGAACCACTGTAGAACATTCAGCTCCTTAAAGACAGCACTGGGGCAAGGGAGAGCTGGACAAGCAATGGCAAGTCTGTGTTTTGCTGAGGAAAAAACAACTAAACATGGATGGGCAAAGGAAGTACTAAGAAGCATGAAGATGAACGCTGTAACAGACATTATTTGTGCAAACTTGCTGGGAGGAGCAAGGAAAAGTACACAGCTCTTAGGGCTTTTTAAATTCTTGAAGACATAAAAAATAATATTTGCCATAGAAAGAGAAAATAAGAAAATATACCATAGCAAAGGCTTGGACAAGGCCCATTATGAAAGAGACATGAAAGCCTATATCCCTCCTAAAAATGAAACAAAATGAAGTTCAAGAGGCCTCTGGATTTTTTTCTTGTTCCAGCTATTCTTTCAAAAAAAAATTATAACCAAAGTAGGACACCCCGGTCTGTCCTACATTGATGTCTCAAAGAAACTGAAAGAGATATGAAAACACTGCTATAGATAAAATGCAATCCTTAGATTTTATTCAGCTCTTCAAGCTGAATAAAAACATTAAAAAAAAAAAACAAACTGCTGCACAATGAGTTAAGGGGAAGTCCAACTGCAACAAAAAGGGGAGTTGCCAAGGCTGAAAAAAAAAAACAAGAAAAAAGACAAAAAAAGAATGAATATAAGAAAAAATGAAAGTGGTAAGAAAGAGAGCAGTTACACAAAAAAGATGAGTAAAGTTTTTTCCTGTCTAAATAGCTTTTAGCTCTCCTGTGCACAAATCAGTTCTTTTAAAAGAAACATTGAGTTCCTTGTGTACACACACACACACACACACACACATCCACACACAGATACACACACATAAAAGATTTTGAGGGCATGTGGATTACTTACAACTGCAAACTCATCTCTGTCAAGCATTCCATCATGGTCAATATCACTCAATTCCCAAACCTTTAAAAAAATATATAATTAACACAGATTAACAGTCTTTCATCACATGGACTCCCTGGGGGAAGGAAGACAACGCTAGAGCTAAGCAAGCACCTGATCAACAAATTCGGATGTTATCTTAAACGCACTGAGAAGTGACTAAAAGGTTATAAAAATACCAAGATTCTATTTTTAGGGAAGAAATCTCACACTAACAATACAATAGGAAAAAAACTGTGTGAAAAACACAGGAAATGGCATTTAAAATGAACATACATATATAAATGTATGTACATACAATAATTAATTTTAATAGTTCATATTTTACAAGTAACAAATATAGAAATAAACTGCCAATGATTTTATATATTAAGTCAGAAGAGAAAATTCTACAAGAACACAACTTCAAAATTATATTTTCTTTGATAAGTACCTTTGATATATACACACATAAATAAATATGAATACATAATTTAGATACATACATATAAATAAACCAAAATCACATTTAGGATTTAACAGCATCTTACTCTTCCAAGGATATCCACAGGTAACTTGGAGTTGAGCAGCACTGGTTTCACTTTATCACCAGACAGAAATCCATTGACTGGGATTAAACTATCAAAAATTGCATCATATTTGACCTTATCTTCAGGCTACAATACAAAAGAAAAAAATCAAAAGCTCAAAAACAGTTAACATTTATCAAAGTTTATTTGATATGTTATATTTTTCATACAGCCTCCAAATAAGTGTAATGTAAACTTTTCAACTTCAAAAAAGGTTTTACTAAGAATTGTTCATTTTAGCGCCTGGCAGTGTAGCCTAGTAGCTAAAGTCCTCACCTTGAACGTGCCAGGATCGCATATGAGCACCTATTCTAATCCCGGCAGCTCCACTTCCCATCCAGCTCCCTGCTTGTGGCCTGGGAAAGCAGTCGAGGACAGCCCAAAGCTTTGGGACCCTGCACCCATGTGGGAGACCTGGAAGAGGTTCCTGGTTCCCAGCTTTGGATCGGCACAGCACCGGCTGTTGCGCTCACGTGGGGAGTGAATCATTGGATAGAAGATCTTCCTCTCTGTCTCTCCTCCTCTCTGTATATCTGACTTTGCAATAAAAATAAATAAATCTTTTTTAAAAAAATTGTTCGTTTTAGAGCCATAAAGAGAATACCCAGTTAAACCAGTCAAGCAACAAATAACACCAGTGAGGTAAATTAGTTGTTCATCAAGTATTTGGGTTTCAAAATGATCATGACATCACCATTTTTTCTTTCCACTATAACAGGCAGTAATTAGACTATTAAAATAGACTTAATTAGACTATTAGTAATAGTCTAATTGCTATTAGCCAAAAAGTCTCCTCACAGATTTCCAGTACCAGTATTTCTCTTGATATCCTTGAACATCCCTATGAGTCTAAGGTCGATTGCAATTTCTTTTGGAAGCAGAGAATGATACAGGCAGGTAAGAGGCAAGACAGAACAGCTAACGCTTACTTACTTTCACAGCCCATGGGAGCTCAGTGGCAGAGGCTCCACTGATTCGCAAAGGACTACTGGCATCATGCTACAAAGTAAAGAACAGTACATGAATAAGTGAAATTCCCACAACACTAGGCAATAAAATAAAAATAGTCTTTGGATTTAAACATATTGGCGCAAAAATTATCAGCACACAAAAGATACTTGTTTTACACTAAGCCGACCTTCACCAAAGCCCTAATGATATAAAACATTTTCATTGTGTTAGCAACATAAATAGTTGTTGCACACCAACTAAATCAAGTAAGTACTACATTAGATAATCCCACAACAATTGAATTCAAGATAAAGATATCTGAATGTAAAAAAAATATATTTAGAATCCTGGTAACTGATGACTTCCCCCTGCCAAGATTATTAAGAAAAGTAGAGTGAGAAAATAAATCAATATGTCATCTCTTAAGTTATAAGTATTTAACCCCTATCAACAGCATGTCCAAGTTATTATCTTTATTTGATCAAAGAGATAGAAGAATATATCTGAGAAATCTTTCCAAAATCTTTTTACTTACTAACTTTAAAGCCAGAGTCAAACAGGGACAGGCAGAGATGTCCCCTCTACTGGTTCAATCTCCCAAAGTTCACAGAAGTTAAGGCAGAGTCAGGGAAAAGCCAGGAGTCCAGAACTTAATCCAGGTCTCTCCCATGGGTAGCAGGGGCTCAACTACCTACACCATCCTGCTGCCTCACAGGGAACATATTAGCAGGGGGCTGGAATGGACAGCAGAGCTGGGATTTGGAGCCCATGAACCTGGAAATGTGATACAGGCGTATATCAAGTAACACTTTAACACTAGGCCAAATTTGCACCCTAGGAAAATTTTCTAATAGTACAGTAAGAAGGTGTTGTGGTCAGTAAGTTAAACTGCTGTTCAGAGTCCCTGAATTCTACATCAAGGTCCTATTCTGAGTCCAGCTTCCTGCTAATGTGGCTAGGAGGCAAAAGACGATGACTCAAGTACTTGGGTTCCTGCCACTCATGTGGAAGACCAGGATACACCTCTTGGCTTCAGGCTGGCCTATCACCAGCTGCTGGAGGTATGTGAGGAGTGGAACAGCAGATGGACAATATCTCTCTTTTTTCTCCTCTCTGCCATTCTACCTTTAATAAATAAATAAATAAATAAATAAATCTAAATGAAGGGAAGAAAGGACTCAAGAAAAATGGACAAAAGCTATAAACAGACATTCATATAAAAGCAACAATTGCTAATAAGCATTAGAATATCCATAAAATGAAAAGGACAAATTAAAATTATACTTAACCTTCCATGTGACACCTACTAAAACTGACAAGGATCTGAAAAGTTTGATAACTGTATGCCAGCAGGGAAAAAAAAATGTAGGGAAACATATGCTTACATAAGTAATTGCTGGTGAAAGTATGAACTAGAAAAAACACTATGGGAGACAGGCTGATAAGACACATGGAGATTACAAAGGTGGGGCTGGCATCCTGTAACAGACACAGTCATCACCCGTGACACCAGAATCACATGTGAGCACAGGTTCATGATCCAGCTGCTTCACTTCTATTTCAGCTCTCTGTTAATGGTCTGAGAAAAACAGAAGATGGGTACAAGTGTTTGGGCATCCTAGTGGGAGAATTAGAAGAAGCTCCTAGTTCAGACTGGTCCCAGCTCTGGCCATTGCACCCATAAGGAATCAATCAACCATCAATTTTTATGATGAAAAACTAGAAATAAGCTAAACCCTATCAATGCGAAATAATTATGATAATACAATACTGTGTAGTTAAACAAAGAAATATTTTATGTGATGATAAAGATCTTTAAAACATTATTTTTAAAAGGGTACAAAATTAAATATTATACAGAGCCAGCAGAGTGGCTTAGTACATAAAGCTGCTGTGTCTATAGTGCTGGTATTCCATATGGGCAATAGTTCAGTCCTGATTCTTCCACTTGCAATCCAGCTCACTGCTAACAGCCTGAGAAACTAGCAGAAAAATGGGTACCCCTGTACCCACATATGAGACCAAGATGGAGTTCTTGGCTCCTGGTTTCAGCCTGGTCCAGCTTGTGACTATATGGGGAATGAACCAGTGTATGGAAGATCTTTCTCTCTTTCTCTTATCCCTGCCTAAATTTGCTGTTGAAACAAATAATTCTTTTTTTTTCTTTTAATAAGAGGAACAGATTTTTCTTTTCCCTTCCTTCCTTCTTTCCTTCTTTCGTTCCTTCCTTCCTTCCTTCCTTTCCTTTTTTATTTATTTATTTTTTAACAAAATTCACGTGGGAAGCAGCATCATAGTGTAGTAGGCTAAGCCTTTGACAGCAGTGTTAGCATCCCATGTAGTCTCCAGTTTGTGTCCTAGCTGCTTCCACTCTGATCCATCTACCAGTTTACAGCCTAAGAAAACAGCAATGGATGGCTAAAGTTCTTAGGTCCCTGTACCCACAAGGAAGACCCAAATAAATCTCCCGGCTTTGACTCTGGACTGGCCTAGCTCTGGGCTATTGCAGCCAACTTCAGGGAGTGAACTAGATGATGGAAGATACCTCTCTCTGTGTCCCTCCTCTTTTTGCCTTTCAAATGAAAATAAATAAATCCCTTTTTTAAAAACCACATGTATAACACAATTAATGTAAATGAAGAAATAAGTATTTCTATTTTTAGTTTGCATGTAATGATACTAGAAGGATACATGAAAAATTGAAATTAAAAATTGTAGCAGTCACTGAGTAAGAAAATCATATAAGTGATACAAGCTAAAAACTTTAAAAATTATGTTAATTTTGATTTTCAAATTACGTGGCATCATTTTTTAAAGTAAAATACAATTTAAATCTAAAGGCTTTCTTACAAATCTTGGCGGAGGAACAGTGAGGTTCAAGCTACTCAGTGAAACCTCCAATCCATTCTGGGCACAGGCCACAAGACGCAAAGCAACAAAGAATTCCTAGAAATAAAAGCATAAACATCATGAGCATTCTCAGCTTACCCAGTCGTCTGTCCATCTGTCTATCCATCTGCCTGCCTACCTACTTACCTAAATACACCCATATTCTGAAAATATAAACAATTTACAATTACTCCAGAGCTTTTATTTAGCAATAAATATTAATAGCACATCTTTCAAAAGATGTGTTACTTTAAAACTTAGAAGCTACCTATACACAAAGCTATTCCTAGTACTATAAATAGCAAATAATAGTTTAAGACAGAAAAATTTTTACCAATACTAAAAACCATACAGAATACACATATTAAAGAATACTTAAAGATATTAAGAAATGTTTCTAATTTTCTCATTTAGAGAAAAAAAATTTTTTTGAAAAAAGCTCAAAAGGAAATAATAGCTAAACATTAACATTGCTGATCGCAGTGAGCTACACAGGGAGCTGATCTCACGAGCTGATCACAGGGAGCTACAGTGGATAAAGCCGCTGCATTCCATATGGGTGCCAGTTCAAGCCCTGCTACTCCACTAATGATCCCTCTTCTCGGTCATGGAAAGCAGTGGGAAATGGCCCAGGTGCTTGGACCACTGCCATCAGTGAGAGAATCCAAAGAAGCCGCTGGCTTTGGCCTGGCCGAGCCCTGGTTTTGGCAGCCATTTGGGAAATGAACTAATGTGAAAATTGCTTCTCCCTCTTTCTGTAAACCCACCTTTCAAATAAATAAACAAATAAAAAATAAATACTTGGGCCCGGCGCGGTGGCGCAAGTGGTTAAGGTCCTCGCCTTGCACGCCCGGGATCTCATATGGGCGCCGGTTCTAATCCCGGCAGCCCCGCTTCCCTTCCAGCTCCCTGCTTGTGGCCTGGGAAAGCAGTCGAGGACGGCCCAAAGCTTTGGGAACCTGCACCCGCGTGGGAGACCCAGAAGAGTCTCCTGGCTTCGGATCGGCGTAGCATCGACCCGTTGCGCTCACTTGGGGAGTGAAACATCGGATGGAAGCTCTTCCTCTCTGTCTCTCCTCTCTGTATATCTGCCTTTCCAATGAAAAAATAATAAAAAAAAATAAAATAAAATAAAAAAAAAATATGATTTGTAAAAAAAAAAAAAAAAAAAAAAAACTTTTTTAAAAGGTCATCTCAGGATTGTGAAAGCATTTTTAAAACCGGAGCAATTATTCACATTATTTCAGAATAACTACAGAAAATAACTACAATATCTGAAGCAATTATATAATTGTTTGAATTCAAAATATTAGCCTCTCTCAAAGGTTCTTAGATTTTTGACCCTTCAAGTTTTGGTCAAAAACTTAACAAATAATTGCAAAGAATCTGAAGCAATTGGTGTTCAGTTATTCTGGGTCAGAATTCGGTCTAAAAGAAAGCTGTAATATTTCTAGTTTTTCAATATCCTATTACAACGGCTGACATAATGAACTGAAATCCTCTACTCTCACACTCTTCTTAGGCTCTCTGCTTTGTAATTCTTTGCATTTACACATAAATTTCTTTAAAAGATGTTATTTTAAGATAACCTGTCTCATTCAGTCCATAAGCTTCTGTGCAATATGCCATCAAGTCTCAAAGCTAAAGGAACCACTGCCTATGTCACACACAGCTCCTACTTACCAACTACAGTAGCCTCTTCTTAAATAGCAAACCTGCGTCCTGCTCATCCTCTTGCATCCTCCCTGGGGCTCTCCTGATAAACATGCTTCATAAAGCTCTCCCAGTTCTGCTCTGACCTTTGGGGTCTCTTGTGAAGAGTCCATTCCTCCTCTAACCTTTAAATGCTGTCATTCTAAGCAGCCCAACACAGACCCTTTCATTTCTCACTCGATGTGAAACTCAATTACTCATCATCATTAAGAATGGGCCCCGAAGTGAAATGATTCTGTGCTAAATTCTAGCACTGCTCCTAAAAATTGTGAAGCGATGGCCAAGTTAAATAAAATTCTTCCATGAAAAGGGAAGTGGTATCTATCCTGCAATGCACTATGAGCAACAAAATAAAAATTACACTGTAGAACGAAAACGCCTAAGGTCATGTTGGGAACATGGAAAAAACAAACATTAAGTAGTGACTTTTCTTTCAAATAACTCAAAAATTTATGCATCTCATGAAAAATCAAAGTAACTGTAGACCCACAAATCCAGCCACTTGCATAGAACAAAGAAAACTCAAACTCAACATCCAAAGTCTAGGAACATCAGCGAAGAATGTATTAAATGTGAACACCATTGAGAGATGACATCTGTTATGTTCATCTGTTTGTAAAACCTGGCTCATGAGAGATACACAACAAGTATTTGCTGACTGAATACACAGCATCTGCCTATATGAATTTAGGTTTCCTTTGCCTCTGATGTACCTAATCACCTTCTACCTGGTGACTTCAATCAAATCCTACAATCCCAGTTAACAGCCTGGATATTCCAACATTCATCTGATTTTTCCAAGTCCTTTTATAACTCGGAAATCCATTCTCAACAAACAAAACATCAAAGTGCATTAATGATGTTAAACACCACTGGCCATAATCACATCCTTGTATTCCTGTCTGGAGTTTACTTCTGGCATCTAAAACATTTTTTGGTTTGGATGTCAGAGGTGAGAACTAGACCAGAACACTCAGGTCTGGTTAGCCCAGAGCTTCCTTCCTTCCTTTCTTTCTTTCTTTTTTTTTTTATTTTTACTTTTGAAATTTATTGCACAATTCTGTATAGTCTGGGATTCCCCTCCCCCTATTTTCCACCCCCTAATTGATTTTTCCCATGTCACAACTCTTCATAAGGAGTTACAGTTCCATCAGTCTGCTATTTAAGTGTGCCCCAACACTGCTGGTACAGACAGTATCAGACAGTCCATCATCCCATGGTCTAGATATGTCCAACACTTCTGTTGGGAGTCCATCTTTTGTTTGGAAGCAGAGATGCATGTTGCATTGTGTCTTCACTTCTGGATATGGCAGTCTCCATTACTTCACCATTATACATTCCAATTTGCATGATGGATTCCTTACATTAGAGAGAACATACGGTATTTCTCTTTTTGTGATTGACTTATTTCATCTAGGCAGAGCTTCCTTTCAAAGTACTGACAAATATCATCTAAATAAAATTCACTTTGGCTTACAACCATGCGGACCCTAACAGCAAAGGTTCTCTAAAAGAAAAACTTTACAACAATACCACCAAACCAACACCAACCTTGAGGAATTTGTTCTTTAAGGTCTGGAAATCTTTTCATTATTATGACACTTGCCCTTGTAAAACTTTAATGTTGGTTAAAAAAAAAAAAGGCAACTTTTAGCTTAAAAATATGAAAATGGTCTATGTGTTTTAAGTTGACAATCACCCCCCCAAAAATTTCATTTGAATATGAATCTTACTTGCTTGTTCAGGATCCCTTTGCCATCTGTGTCAGCTAAATCCCAAATCTGAAATTTAGAAGAAAAAGTATCAATCCAAATCTTAAAATTCATCTTACAGCAAAATAAAATCACTGCAATGTATAAATTTATGCTCTAAGACATATGAATGACAGAATTCAGAATACAAAGAAATCTTAAAATCCACTTTTAGTGTAACTCATCCCAAAGAAAGCCCAAAAAGGTAAAACGTTTTGGCACAAGACTTGTCAAAGCATCAGGCTAAGAACTGAAACTCAGGTTCTCATTTTTGTCAAATACTTTCAGGAACGCAGGTTTTAATTGAATTCAATGCTCTTTTTACTAGAAAATAATACCCTGATTTTAGATGCTTATTAATATTTTTTTCTGTGAGAAAATTGAAGTGGTTAATGTTTGTGAAATTAGACGGCACCGTTCTTGAGGACTCTGAATATCAGTATCCTGTATAAGGATTTGAGGGGGCTTTCCACCTCTCCCTGCTCTTGCCAAAGCCTCCCAACCCCCACTCTATTCACCACATATTGAACAGAGACAGTTACAAAGAGGAAATAGGGACAGAGCTAACTCTAAGTGGGTGCCAAGGTTCCCAGTCATCACTGTGTCTCTCCACGATATCCAAATGTTCTATTACTTCCTCATTTTATCCTACCAGAAATTAATCTGTTTTTAAAAATCTGAAAAGCACCCTACTCTTTCAGAGGGTAAAACCACCACAGCACAAAGTCCCTGCATTCCATTACTGTAACTGCTTGGATGACTAAACTGTAAGTTTCTTGATGGTCTCCTCTTTGAATTTCCATTTAGTTCATTTTTATTACTACAATGGACAAATATCACCTTGCCAAGTATCAAGTCTGGAAGTCCCGACTTTTTCAGGAAAACAGCAGCATCAGAAGCCAACACTCTTCCAGTATTGCCAGTATCAACCTGAAAAGGAAAGACATAAGCTGACACAAACACAGAAAGGAAATGTCACTGCTCTTTCCCAGCATTCTATCCCTGTCATTTGAGAACTGGCTTTTTCAAAACAGGAATCCTTTGGTTAACAAGGACCGAGGAATATATGGAAAGCCCTAAGAGCCGATTACCACCTAGACAGTCCTGGAGACTTAGATTTTTAATCATACCCACTACAGAAATCAGGAAACTGAAGCTCAGAGGAAGTGAAACTAAATCAGCAACATCAGCACCTATCTTCTGACTCCAAATACTCTATACTTGTCTTTTAAAGTCCAACAAACTTAAATGCCAACAAGAAAAAAAGGGAAGTATTTCCTGGAAAGATCTTTTTGACAAATGGGAACAGTGGCATATGTTCTCTTCCTTCTAACATCATCAAATTTTGTTTTTATAGCTGCTTTTTGAAATTACAACACTTAAAATCAAAGCAATGTCAGCTCTAAAGACAACAGTGATTTCATAATAAGTTTCAAAAAAGCCTTAAACATTTAAGTTCCTAAAACACATTAAAGGAAATATCATTTTAACTGATGGGAACTTAACTTTAAGACAGAACAAGGTCATTAAGAACAAATTAAAACTTTAAAAAAATGATTAATTTTTGCAAAGACTTCCTGAAGCTCTTTTTATAAAAATGAAAAGTAAATTTCAAAAAGTCTTAAAAAGACTAGGGAAACTAGGGTATTTGTGAAATGACTATTTTTCGAGTCTAAAGGTCAGGTTTACTGTAAACATACATAAAGCATTCCAGACAGTTCAGTCCCAGAAAAGAATCAAAAGAGAAACCTTTCTTTCAAGTATTAGACCATGGGATAAATCAGGCACTCAACAAAAACTAACTGCTTCATCCTTCAAGTTTGGGGTAAACAGGAAGTCTTGAAAAGATTAGGAAATCTACTTCTAGAATCCTCCAGAACTCCTTCTCTTTGTTCATTCCCTGACCAGGACAGAAAAAGAATACCCCTATAAAGTATAACCTAAACAGAGAGGAACTGAGGGAAACAGTCATCAATTTTATGTACTGCACTGCAACAAAGAATTTGACTACATTCTATTCTTTTGTTAATAAATTATACAGTCATTTTCTCTTCCACCTATAGCTTCTGTTGTACTCTGATGCAAGTCTACCAGGCTCTGCCTTAAGCTCCAGGCTAGAATTTGCCTCTAAGAAAAAAGGCTCACAGTTTCTTGAAAGGACCATCTCATAGCCTCAGCGATATTATTACTTCAGAAAATAGGGTTTAGGGCTGTTGCTATACATAATGCATAAAGCCACCACCTCAGATGCTGGCATCCCGTATGGACCCGTCTGTGACCTAGCAGATCCACTTCCAATCCTGGTTCCTGCTAAGGTGCCTAGAAAAGCAGCAGAGTTTGGTCCAAATAGTTGTGCCCCTGCACCCATTTGGGAGACTTGGAACATCTCATGACTCCCAGCTTCGGCCTACCCGACCCCAGTCATTCCTAGCAGAAGGAAGATTTGTCTCTCCTTCTTCTTCTAACTCTGCCTTTCAAGCAAAATATAAAGCTTAACAAAATTGGCTTTTGTGGTAAAGGCTAAGTTGATTTCACTTAAACTATTTTCAGACTGTACTCGTAGATTGTCAGAACTTCAAGGACTCTCTTCAGTGCAAAAGCAGAAGTACTTCATGAAAGCAGACTGCTGACTCAAGATCCAGCCAAACAGGAATTAATTACACAAAACTGAACGACCTGTTGAGGAAAATTTAATTAAAATGTAATTATGGTTATTTACTTAGAAGACTGTTGGCTGTTGATAATTATTTTTAATAGATTTTAAGGTTTTGGGCGGGGGGGGGTGGCGGGAGAGGGAAAGGACGGGAGGGAACAAAAAGAGCTCCCATGTGTTGGTATAGTTAATAAAAGCGCCCAACAACCTGGCCTGGCCCATTGCCAGCCGGAGACTGGGGGCCAAAATCAGGAGTCAGAAACTCCATCGAGACCTCTCAGATAGGTGCAGGGACCCAATTACTTGAGTCATATACCTTCTGCCTCTTGGGATCTGCATAAGTGGGAAGCTGGAAAGGGAGAAAAGATGGGATCTACCCAGACATGTGGAATTCGGGCATCTTAACCACTAGACCAAATAGCTACTCCAATGTTCTATTTTCCTTTTAGATCTCAACCTCAATTTAGAAGGCTCTGCTTTTATAAACTGAATGAGTTTTTAAATGCATGTTTTACTTTTTAAGGCAATATGATTATTGCATAAGTTTGATCATCTTTTTCTATTTATTAGCTTATAAATAAATAAGCTATATAACATAGGGCCATACTTGAGACTGGGCCATACTTGAGACTGATTCCCTTTATTCAGATCGAAAACACTACTATTAAAGATTAAGGATTGACTTATAAGAAAACTATACAACGTCCTTCTAAACAAAACTGGTTTTCTATTTGGTTTGTGTGATTCCAAACTCACAGGTAGTAAAGCAAACTCACTTACTGCCAACCTAGGAACCTTAGCAAATGCAGGAAACCTCAAGACAAGAGAAATTCACCCGAATTTACATGTAACATGGGTGAAAGATGGCTGCTATGGTTTGAAATGGCTTGGGCATATCCCCCAAGGGTTCATGTGCTGGAAGTGTGTTTCTCAGCATACCAGTGTTGAAGTGGACCTAGTGGAAAGTACATGGGTCACTGAGGCATGGTCATTGGCAGTAATTAACGTTGGCCCCTCCCTCCTGCTTTCTGCCTTCCTGTTTTGCCAAAGATTAAATGTCCTAAAATGTACCTAGAAAGAAGTTGGCAGTTAATTTACATGCATACGTGAACAGCTGACAATACATTTTATATTCAATGTAAGAAAGTAAAAAAAAGTTACCTGTCTATAGTATTTTTCATATACAGGATTCCCACTTGATAGCTAAAAAAAAAACACAGAAATTATATATTACTCAGTAGCTTCTATTAATACATTTTACATTCACAACAGACAATTGCAAGAAATTAGTATGAACTTGATTGCAAAAATTTTGGTTCTGCTTCTTTAGGGTGAGGGTGAGAAGGCAGATGAATAGAGACCACATGAGTTCCTAAGAATGAAGTGGATAAGAAATAAAACAAGAATCTTAAAAAATTATTTTTGACATCAGAACTCTCTCCTTCACCCTGAAAAACTTGATCCAGAAACTCAACCTACAACAAATTAGGAATGAAATGTTCTGGTTAAAGTCAGTTGAAAAGTCTAATAGCCCACCCACTCATCCACTGTTCAAGTGCCCAAACTACCTATGAATATAGTTCACACACCACCTCATTAAAATAATCAAATGAATATACAAATAGACGTAAAAAAAACATGACATTGCTTACAAGTAGGCAGGGCAATCCAATTTATACTACAGTTTAGATGTGCATAAACAGATCATCTGAAAGGCAGCTTATAGGCATCCATGCCTGAAGATTCAAGTTTGCCTGTACATGAACATGTAAAACTGCTCCAGCACAAAGAAGGCTCCAGGCAGGTGACATGAAAACAGGAACTTGAGGCATGCAGAAGAGTGAGGAGGGTGAATCTACAGAAAGGTACTCACATTGAAACAGGCATGCAATCAACAGAAAACTCAGCTTTTCTAGAAAGAAGAGTCAGGTACACTGAAATGGGAATTTAAGATTATTAAGTTTTGAGGCTGGCGTTGTGGCTTAGCCTTTTGTGTGGAAAATGTAGTTTGTTCTAAAAATAAAACTAATAACAATGTTAATGAGTAACTCACTTTGTTTTAAGCTTGTGGAAAATGTAATATTTACAACAACTGATTATAGTAGCTATTTTCTCTTTTTTCTTTTTAATTATGATAAAGCAATCAAAAGAGCTTGCCAATTTTCTAAGCTTTGGGCCAGTGATTAAAAGAACGGACTCTGTGAGGGCCAGGATATGTGTCGACTGGCCGCCCTTTGCTGTAGGATCTGCTGGCAAGGGCTGCGACAGGGAGCAAATCTGCAGTACTCCCTGGAAAGTGCAAAATCCAGGACTGGGAATGGACCTAGTAGGGAAATTGTGGGCAGTCCTTTGCTGGGCTGTATGTAGTTCTGCTGCTGTACATGAGAGCCAGGGCTTTCAGGTGGGCCAGGCTGGACAAAGCAGCAGCACCTGTCAGCATACATGTGGACTGGGTCATGAGCTAAGGTGGGTTGAACTAAGCTGCAATACTCATAAGTGTATACAGAGCTTGATTGGGACATGGCACGAACCAGACTGGCCTGCTGTACATGGTAGTACAGGGTTGTGGGTGGACCTGGTGGTGGTTATTGAGGGTCACCCCAACTAGGCTGTAGATTCGCTGATATACACAAGGGCCAGGTCTATGGCACACTGGGATGAGTAGGAACTCAGCACCCATCGGTTTGCATTGTACAGAGGGCTGGGGACAGAACTAACCAGGTAACTACAATCACCAGTGTGTGCAGACTGAAGCAGACCCTGCATTGACTGGAACATGCAAGAGTCAGGTCTGGGGTCACCCCAAGTGAAGTTTTTTGGGGGACTCTCCAACTAGACTCCACAAGGAGAACTATAAGATTTGTAGTCTGACCTTGGAATGCATGTGTCTGGACTGGACTGCCAATATTGCTGATGTTTAGACAGTAGATGGCATGGCTAGGTGCATAAGGGGGACATGAGAAGCAGCTCATTTGGGCCTGCAGAGGACATCAAGTGACAGGTAAGAAGATGGAGAGCAGGACAGGTCGGACAACTCTCCTGGCCAAGCTTTGGCAGCAAGAGTCTGGGTGAGTGGACGAACTAGGTTGTACCCTGTTCAGCTAACGGACCTTGAAAGGATTTTCTCAACCTTGGAGCAGCGAAGCCAACCACATCTCAGAACTATCAAGACAACTTAGGCAATACCCTGGGAACATTCTTTTCCACATTAGGATTTCTAAGATGATATCAAGTAGATACCACCCCCATCCCCAACTATGATGTGGTTTGGCAGCTAGGAACAATCCCCTCCCCTTCCTTTACTCCCTCCTCCCCCAATACAGGAGGAAAATGAAGAAACGGAAAATTGAAAGCATTTGTCCTACCCACCTTCCCCTATGTCTCAACCCTCCCCACCCTGTTCAGTGTTTCTCATGGGTGTGCATTCTTATCAGTTGTGTGGGTAATATAAAAAATCAAATAAAAACTTAAAAAAGGAAACCTATTAAAGACACTGTGGATTATATATCAAAGAAGGGGATAGGGAAGGGAAGAATGGGCTTTCTGGGGCCAGCATGACGACACAGCAGGCTAATTAGACCACAGCAATGGCATCCCGTAAGAGCTCCATTTGTTTCCAGCCTGCTTCACTTCTTGATACAGCTACTTGTTGAAAGCCTAGGAAAGCAGTAGAGGACAGCTCAAGTCCTCGGGCCAAGTTCTTGGTATTAAGTCATTATTTGCTAAATGAAGAAAGGAAGGAGAAGTACAATACAGGGAGCTGCTGAGGAAATAATTCTGTCTTACTGAGGATCTGAATATTGGCAACAGCAGAAAGAAAGGATATGCTTTGAAGAAGGCTTTATAAGACAGATTTGACAAAACTTATTAGGTGGAGGAAACTGGGGCAAATGGCAGATTCATGACTGCAAAATGCCTGCATATGCACATATCCTATTGCTCCTGTTTCTCTAGAGAAATTAAGTGATCCATCTAATCACAGGGAGGTTATCTCAGCTTTTAAACAGCACTGTCAGAACTTGAATTCAGATCTGTGTTACTCCAAGTTCCATGTCCCTTCCCATATGCCCTGCATTGCCAAGGACAGTCTCAATTTACAATCTGTTCATCCCCACTAAGTTCACCAGATGTCTCTGAGTTCACTTTTGAAAATGAACTGCTACTAAACATTACAGTTCAAATATGTTAAAAGCAGTGGGCCAGTGTGGTGAGTTAAGCTGCCACTTACGATACCACCATTCTGAGTTGTGGCTACTACTCTTCAAATCCCAACTCCTTGCTAATAATCCACCTGAGAAGGCAGCAGATGATGGCCCAATTGCTTGGACCCCTGCCATACAGCAGACTCTGGGAGACCAGGATGCCTGGAGTAACCACTTGGAGAACAAACTAGAAGATGAAAGATATTTTTACCCTTACTCCCCAACATTTTGCCTTTCAAATAAAACAATCTTCACATATATACTTAAATATAAGCATTAAAATTTAGTTAAGATTAAATAAATATGGAAATATGTAAATTCAGATATATGTTTATTTAAAAAAACCAGGATTGAGCTAGGCCTTGGCCAATGTACCTGGCTTCACCCCAGGCCAGTGTTGCAGAGCACTACGCTCGGCTCCTCCACCTGACGCTGTCACCCTCCAGAGCTCCCCTGATGTAACCCAAATGCTCTGGGCAGCTCCTGTTAGTCTTCTCGGCGCTCCTCTCATGAGCACCGCAGCGGGCTAAGCTTCTGCTCTTAATACACCGTGGACTTGCCCACTCACCTGGAGTCCCTTTGCTGGAAGGACCACTTTCTCCTGGGAAGTCTTCCTGAGTAGCCCAGGGGACTAGAGTGAAGTCAGCCACTAGGGGCTAACAGAGGCAGACCACACAAGTCAAGTTCTGTTCTGGCCTCTCACTATGTTCTCCCTTTCTTGCTCTTTAAAGCACTAACAAAAGGGCTTAACGCAATGGCTCAACTTGCTGATCCTCCCTCTTCAAGTGCCAGGATTCCTCATGGGTGCCAGCTGCTCCATTTCCTATCCAGCTCCATGCTTGTGGCCTGGGAGGGTAGTGGAGGACGACCCAGGGCCTTGGGACCCCAAACCCATGTGGGAGACCCAAAAGAGGCTCCTGGCTCTTGGCTTCAGATTGGCTCAGCTCTGGCCATCAGGCCGCCTGAGGAGTGAACCAGTGGATGGAAGATCTTTGTCTCATCTCTCTGTAGATCTGCCTTTCCAATAAAAATATACACAAAATACTAACAATAACAACAACAACAACAAAAAACCAGAATGGAATTAGTGTAAGTCTACTATATAAACCTAGACTCCGGTCCAGGTACCAGTATACAGTGCTTTAACCACCTGAATAAATGATGAAATCTGAAAAAGCACTAGTGATAATTTTAGCATTTTTCTTGCCCTAATTCTTTACAGCTGAAACATGCTTAACACCTATCTTTCAAGGACAGCAGTAAAATTCACTGTAAGTGTCCTCAAAGTAAGTATGAATATAGTTCTTCACAGTCTTGTGAGGTATTTGGGGTATCTGACACTAGTACCCCTGGCTGGCAATTTACTGTGCCAGTAAGCTGCTTCGTAGTCACTGTACAAAACACCTGACTACCAATCAGCTATGCTAGTGGAGATACACTGGTTAGCTGCAAATGAAGTATGTATAAGGAGTCAATCTAAAAGTCCCTGGGTAGTTTTGTCATTTATTATAGGTCATCTACGATTGCTTATTTATTTTGCTGTTTGTCATCATTTTTCATTATTCAATAAACCTTTTCAGGACAAAATGAACAAAAAAGAAGAAATGATATGTTTAATGTGAAATAAGAAGTGAATTCATTTCTCCAGACAATCGGTGGACAGGTAATCTGCATAAACCAGAGTGTTTATGGAGGTAGACTTCAATAAAACTACTATTGCTGTTGTTAGACCATAAATATTGTCATTTTTAGATTTAAAAAGACACATCAAAAATATATGCAGAAAAAATTAAAGGTGTAGCTAAAGTAACCACATCTACTTAATGTAATGATAAATGGTTTTTATATTCATATTACTCTCCATTCTCCAAACACATTTTTATAGTGACTATGCAACACTTATTATAATTAGAATGAGACAATAAAACTGTTTTCTTTTAGGGGGAACATAAATCCAAACATTTTATCAATATGCAAAATTACATAATAATTTCTAGTAAT